CAGGAACTATTTGTTACTGTAGCGTAAGTTAGCTGATCCTGACTGATCCAGAGAATAGTGACCAAGAATGGGATGTTGCAACAGAAGCCAAGATATGTGGCTGATCAGGCAGTGGGAAAATGGATTCCAAGGGTGGGAAGCATGGCCATCAAAGCACTGAATGGCATAATATTTGGTAAATTGTCACCTCGGATAACTTAGAAGGTTCAGGGAAAAGAGAGTAAGGGTGTTACTCTACCATCAAAGACAGGCTCAGAGGACCTGCAATCAAGTTGAGAGAGAGGCATGTCTTGAAAAGTACTGTGAGCAGATACTGACACTGAAACCAAGTGGAAGCAAACAGACTAGGTAAGATGGTAACTACATTTTTGAGAAACTAGAAGTGCCCAAAACCAGGATTAATACAATCTGTGGCTGGAACTTAAAATAACTCTTGGTCTCCAACTTTCTATAGGCAGAAAATGGGCTGAGGAAACTGCTCAGCCCGCAAAAGCAAAAGGATGTATTTCCCCAATATCCACTTCCTGTGCAGCCAAGGAGGATCACTGCAAAAGGAAAAACTGCCCCAGGCTGGAGCAAAACCCCTGGCTGCCCCATCCCCAAACCCCCAGCGAGCAAATTTGAGGCTATTCAAGGACTAGTCTCACTTCAGGGCAGGAGGCAGTATCTGCCCAGCAGTTTCAGGATTGCTATGGGTACTATCTACCGAATGTCTCTGCCTCCTCCCCTTCTGAGTTAGGCTGTTAGTTGTGTTATTCTGTCTCTGCACTTCCCGCATTGGGTGTGGGTATGAGCAGTAGGCACCCAGAGAATTCACCTTCAGGCCGTAGGCCTCTAGACCAAGAGGAGGAACCACATGAAGAAGCCTCTGTGCCTCCCACAGGGGTCCTGGGCTTTGAACTGGATGCCACAGAATGTCCCTCATCTCAAATTCCTGTTATCCGGTCTCTGGCCTCTAGAGTCAGACTAAAAGTCACATTAGATGAGTCAGGCTCACCCAGGGACAGGGAAAATGCATTTCATGTGTGGGAAAGAAGGAATGGGTAACACCCTTGGGTCCGTGCTCTTCCTTGCCTTCTGTTGTGGCAAAGAGCACATTCTAGACAGAGGCTGCTCCATCAACCTGCCGTCCCCAGGTGCCTTCCTATCAACACACAGCATGGCCAGAAATAAACCTTTGAGCTTTGCAGTGTGGCCCAGCCTCTCCTGACTAATATGGCGACTCTGTCCATCCTACCTCTTGAAGTGTTTCCGGAGCTGCCGATCTCCTCCAGCCCGGGCTGCTGACCCTCTGCATCTGGCTGGGCAGTTATCACCTAGGGACTGCAGTGACTTCCCTGCTTTCTGGATTACATGTCTCCCGCTTTCTTGGTTTACATCTATGTTTTGATGAAGTGTAATCCCTGGTGGCTTCCTCCTATGAGAAAGGAGGCATGGGAGATACATTTTTTGAAACCTCATGCATCTAAAAATACTTTATAGTTTGACTGGGTGAAGGCTGGAAAGTAATTTTCTTTCACATTTATTTCCCAAGGCTTTGTTCCCTTCCAACTTCAACTGGTTGTTGTGGAGAGGCCCACGGTCATTCTGATCCCTGATTATCTGTATGTGACCTGTTTTAATGTCAGGACACTTTTGTCCCCTGCATTCTGAAACTCGGCAACACTATGCCTTGGTGTTGGGCTATTTTTCCTCCTGTGTTGGGCTCTCTCCCTTCTGGCATGTCGTGAAGACTTCTCTTGGATTAATTCATCGATGATTTTCTCTCTTGTGTTTTCTCTGATCATGTGGGGTCCCTATTAATCAATGAATTTTTTGGTTGGTCCACTAATTTAACTTTTCTTTCCTATTTTCCTTTTTTTTTTTTTATTGTTGTTGTTCTACTTTCAGGGAGGTTTTCTTCTTTTACATTTCTGCTACCTAGTAAACATCTCAAGAACACTTTTTGTTTTTCCCCTGAATGTTTCTTTATCTATGTTCTCCCTTCACAGATTGTGATCTTTTAAAACTTATCTAATGACATTATTGATGGTTTTGTTGACGTTTACTTCTCTCTGCATGGTCTCTTTCTTCCAACTTGCTTTTTAAAAATCTATTGTAACTCTGTATTTCATGACACAGGCTTTCCTGAGGTGCTGAGTCAGCTCTGGCTGCCTGCTTGCATTTGCCCGGGAGGGACCGAGAGGCTGAAGAAAACCTCCGTGAACATGAGTGGCAGTGTTCACTGTGGCCTTCCCTCTAGGGTGAGCTGCCTGTTTAATTGGGCAGCCACAGAGGTCAGAAGGTCTGGGTGTTTCCCCATGGCATGGTTGGCTCCCCCAGGAAAGACCCTTCTAGTCTCCTGGCTGCTTGCATTCTAAAGTCCCAGAAAGGGGCTTGTGGGTCTCAGCATCCAATATCCATGTGTGCGTTGAATCCCCCTGATCCTATTACTGTACCTCTGTCCTTAATTATGCCCAGTGTCCACCCACCCAAGATGCTGCTTTTTACTTTTTTCAGGTCATAAATATCCAGTCTTTTGTCAGAACAAGGAAGGGGCAGTTGTCAGGTTGCATGAAATTGGGGTGCAGATATGGGCATCTGAGTGCTCCTCAAGCAGACATTCAGCCAGTCAATCTTATTTCCACCCCCCTTTACTCTCACATACAGTGGTACATAGTGCCACCATTCGCGAACCTTCTGGGGATTCCATGGAGTATGTTCTTAGCTCTCCTTCCTAGCTACTATCTCAGGGTTTCATTTTCTTGGATCTGCTAAGTATTTTAGCTTCAAAAACTGTGTTGTTACTTCCTCTATTGTTCTCCCTTTGTGGATTTCTGCCTTCTAACAAATGTTTCAGAGGTTCCAGAAGGAAGTTAAAGTCAACACATACTACCCATCCACCACCTTTACCCAGAAACTCAACAACCCTTTCAGCCTTTAGTCTCTATAGTCATTCCCCAGACACACCTGCTCTGCTTTTCTATTGCTTCCACTTGAAATTAGATGGCCCCGCCCTCACATATATACATAGGCCATCTCTGTCAAAATCTTAGCAAAGAAAGCATAGGAGTCTCAGCTAAGGGGACATTTTCTCTGGGGAAAAGAACTGTGTCTAATCTGGAAGACACTTCCATGTGGACTGGGGATCAAATAGGTGAATTCCACAACAATAATCAAATGCCTGATCAGTGGATTATTGAGAAAGCAGCCAAGGGACTCAGTTTTGTCTCCAGAGTGCCACAGGACAGTCAAAATCCTTTGGGACCCACATTCCTAGGAAACTCTTGGAGGGCGTGCATCAGCACAAAGGACTCGTGGAACCTTGAAGACTGGGGAGAATTCTGATGGCTGGAAAGGGGCCAGGAGGGTATGGGTGGCTGATAAGCCGGCGTAGGACCACTCCTTACTTAACAAGTGACTGATTGTGACACGTGGCGGGAACGAACATTCCAAATCATTACTTGGTCAGGACACACGTCTCTTAAATGTCATCAACACAATCTGCCTAGAAGAAGCATGATTACTTTCTGCCAAGCCCAGACCCTCCTAGGGGGACCTGACCCAGCCCAGCACCTTTAGAGTCTCCCAGAGGCCACCAACTCAACCAGTGAGACCGCATTTTAGGGTTTTAGTTACAGACACTGAGGGTACTCAAACATCCATGCAGTTAGCTGCTCACCATAAAATGCATACTCAGAATGGCTGTTTCGGTCCCCCGCCGGTTATCGGAAAACCAGTCTTACTGGGTCGCAAACCCAAATTAATTTAGTGAGAACTTGAGCAGAATGACACCCCTCATCCACTGCTGGGGTACACTGAGGGTGAGTGCCCAGGCTCCTACATTCTCCCGGCTCCTCTCAGAACACAGCAGGGGTGGCTGACTGCTTCCCAGTCCATTAAGTACAATGCACCGGGGCCGTAGGGGGTTTGCTGAGCCCGATTACGAGGCGGTGGGAAGTTATTCACCGGCGTCTCTGGGTATGGAGAATGGCTGTGGCCGCGGGCGGGGGCGGGGGGTTACCGGTGAGAGTCAAGGGCAAGTTGACCAGGCCTGGGCCGGGAGGCGCGGGCTGGGCGTAGCCGAGCATTTCCTCCGGGAGGCCCAGACAGCGGGTGGGGCGCGGTGGGCGGGGTCCTCGCAGCTGGGGGCGTTTGAAGCCCCCGCCCCCCGACCGCGGTGGGAGAGGGGCAGCCTAGAGGAGTTGGCAGCGGGCCTGGGGCGGGAGGGGGAGGAAGGGGCCCCGTGTTCCCTCAGCAGCGGCGCCGGCCGCCCTGGCACGTAGTTCGCTTTTGGAGGCACAGGCCGCGGTGGGCGCGCCACCCGGGCTGCCAGGCTCACCGCCAGCCGAGGCCAGTCCTGCTCCGGCTGACACGAGCTCAAGGGCAAAGCGGCCGCACCCCGGAACCCGGCCTCCAGGAACCAGCTCGAGAAGACCCGTCCCTCCCCCGGGAGCTGCCCCGCCCGGACTCCAGGAGCTCGGCAGGGCAAGGGCGTGGGACAGGCAAGCGGCCCGAGGCTCTAGGCGCGGCCACCAGGGAAGCCAGCGAAGGGGGGCGCGGCGCGAGTGCGTTCCGCCCCCAGGCAGCTCCGCGCCCAGCCCAGGCGGACACGCCTCCCCGCCCGCGCCCCTCGCGGGAGGGCGGGAGGGACAAATGGCGCCCTACAGAGAGCGAGCATCTCCACGCCGGAGACCAAGGCTGTCACTACACAAAAGCTCCGGCCGGGAAGCGCCCCCAGAGTCCCCGCCGCGGGAGGTACGGGCTGCCGCTCCGCACAGCGACTCCCCGGGTCCGCCGCCCTCGGACGTAGTGCGTCAGCGTGCCCCGCTCCAGTTTCCGCCCCTCCTCCCGCCGGCCCAGGGGGCACGCCCACTGGCGCGCGCAAGCCCCGAGACCGGGCACGCCCCTCTAACGGCCTGGATTGGCCTGGCGGTGCACTCACGGGCCAATGGGGTCCGTCCTGGCCCTCGGCCACGCCCCCTTCCCAGGCGCGGGCACGCGACCGCTCCGTTCCGCCGGTGCGCGCTCTGGGCTCCCCGCCCCCTCAGCCCGCGCAGCTCCCCGCGGCCGCCGCCGCCTGTAACCTGCGCCGCCAGGATGTGGCTGGGGGCTGACGTCGGGTCCAGATGTGGCCCCGGCCCCGCCCACCCCCGGGGCCGGGCCGCCCACACCGAGCCGCGGCGCGCACGGCAGCTGTCCCGCCTGCCACAATGCGCGGCGAAGCTGCGGCCGCGACTTAGCGCGGTGGTCCCTAACGTCGCCGACTGGCATCCTTAGAACCCGCAGCCCCTGACGCCGCGCGGGGACCCCACTCGCCCGCGCCACCCCATGCGCTCGATCTTCGGTGCCCGGCAGGGCCGGCGCCTCGCGGACGCGGAGCCGCGCGGGTGACGGCAGAGGCGGCTGCGCGCCCAGCCCAGCCCAGCCCAGCCCGAGGAGAGGGCGCGCCGCGCCCCCGCCCCCCGCCCGTTCTCCCGAGGCCGTGGGTGCGGATGCGCGGCTGACGCCTCGCAGGGAGAGCACCGCCGCCGGCCCCAGCCCGCAGCATGGCAGCCACCGCCTATGTGGACCACTTCGCCGCCGAGTGCCTCGTGTCCATGTCGAGCCGCGCGGTCGTGCACGGGCCGCGGGAGGGGCCGGAGTCCCGGCCCGAGGGCGCGGCCGTGGCCGCCACCCCCACGCTGCCCCGGGTCGAGGACCGCCGCGACGGCAAGGACAGCGCCTCGCTCTTCGTGGTGGCGCGGATCCTAGCGGACCTCAACCAGCAGGCGCCGGCGCCGGCCCCGGCGGAGCGCAGAGAGGGCGCCGCGGCCCGGAAGGCGAGGACCCCCTGCCGCCTGCCGCCCGCGCCGCCGCCTGCCCCCGAGCCCGCCTCCCCCGGCGCCGAAGGCGCGGCGGCCGCGCCCCCCAGCCCGGCGTGGAGCGAGCCGGAGACCGAGGTGGGGCTGGAGCCCGAGCGGGAGCCGGGGCCCGCGGGGAGCAGCGAGCCCGGCCTCAGACAAAGGGGCCGGCGGGGCCGGAGTCGCGCGGACCTCGAGTCCCCGCAGAGGAAGCACAAGTGCCACTACGCGGGCTGCGAGAAAGTTTACGGGAAATCCTCGCACCTCAAGGCGCACCTGAGAACTCACACAGGTCAGTGGGGCGGCGCGGGCGCCCGGAGTGCGCGGACGGGGCCGGCGCGAGCTGCCCGACCACGCCCCCGGAGCCGCCGGCCAGGCGCGAGGTGGGGACCGGGCAGGCCGGGGCGTCCGGGGCCTTGCCCCTTCCCGGGTCGCTCCGACCCGCGGGCGGCCCCGCGCGCCGCGCCAGGCGGGTCCCGGCTTTCGGAGCCGGCGCCCGCCCGGCGACCGCGCCCCCGCCGGGCACGCCCCCTCCCAGGGCGCGCTCGGGTGGGGCCGCGGGGGCGGCTGTAGTCTTCTGGGCCGGGGGACGGGGCGGGGATTCCTCCTGGCTGGGGGGCGGCGCGGGCAGGTGCGGGCGGCCTGGGTGGGGATCGCAGGCGGCGCTCGTGACGGTGGGGCGCCCGGGGGCGGGGGCGGAGGCCGGGGCCGCTCTCCCGGGTCTCTCCTCGTCTCCTCCTCCGCCGCCCGGGAGCGCGCTCAGGAGGGGAGGGGCCGGCCCCGGCGCGCGGCGGGCGAAGTTCACGCGGGGACAAGGCTCCCTTAGCCACTCGGCACATTCTTCGCTCTCTTCTTCCTGTAATTTTTCCAGCTCTCTAAGGTTTAATTTGTCGTAACCAGAGTCCGCGGCGGTGCTGGGCGACGCGGGGGGCGGTCCCGGGTCCCGCTCCCCGCCTGCGGCTCTTAGTGGGAGCCCCCGCCCATCCGGCTGGCGGGGGCGGGCCCGGCCCCAGGGCTCCTCGGCCTCGCGGCACTCTCCCGAAAGGAGCGCGCTGGCCGCTGCCGGTTCTCCGTGCCGTCCTCTCGCCTACCCGATTCTCACCTGCCCTGGGCCGGTGCGGGCGGGCGGCACCTGCGCGAGGGCGGGCGCTGAGCCTCCAGCTTGGGGACCACCGCCCGCCCCCGCCAGCCCCGCGGCAGCAGTTCCCACGCGCGGCCGGGTACTTTGTGGTTGATTCATCTGCGGCGGTTTCCTCCCCTCCCCTTTTTTGTTTCGTTTTTAACACAAAGATGAACACGTTTTAATGGATGGCTATCGTCCTCCCCCATTTAGGTGTAAAGAATTGTCTGCTTCCCCTGAGCTCTCTTGAGTTGTTCTGGGACACTCACCTCTTTTACTTTGGGGACAGGCTCAAACCGGTGTACTGAATACTGTTACCTTGTGACCGAGGGTGGTGATCTCTTATTTGTGAAATAGTTCATACAGTGATTAAAAGGCATAAAAAGAAGCTGCAGCCTTGGAGACCCTAGAGTTGAAGGCCACCCTTTTCCGGTACATTTGGAACTGAAAGGGCCCGAGGTCTGCAGGTGAGGCTTTCGGATCTCGAACTAACTCCTCCCTACCTCCCCCCGCCTTCTCACTCCTCCTCCCCAAGGCTGTACCCTGGCTCCTAACCCCGTGCCGTGGCCGCCCCAAACCACGTGGCAGGTGATGGGGTAGAGGGTGAGAGGGGAGCCATTTCTAGGCATTATGCGTCCGTTAAGGGCGTGGGGGTTTAGGTTGGAAGTGGGGGTCAGTGTGGGCCCAGAGTTCAGCCCAGGGCGCAGCTGCAGAGTGGGTGTGACCTTGGGGGAGGGGCCAGGGTATGCTCGGATCCTGGTGGACTCTGAGTGTCGGGTGGGGGCGGCACTTGGGGAGTGGCTGGAGTTGAGAACCGCTTTGGGCCTGTGCTAGGCGGCATACTTAATGTTTGGGAACTCTTTCCACAGCCCCTGTCAGAGTGGCCTTCCACCCGGCAGCACCGGTAACTGGAAATTGAGGAGGGGGTGGCCGAAGGAAGGGGCTCACCGTTGTGGTCAGGGCTGGCTCGGCAGGGCCCCTGCCCTGGGATGTCTTCCTGGTGGGTTCACCTTCCGCTTCAGGCTCTTGGCCCCGTGCAAGCCCCTTGACTAGAAGATTGGTGCAGGGGCTCTGGAGTCCTGGGCCTCCCGCTATGGGTGGGGCCGGTTTCCTCCGAGCGAGCGAGCGTCTAGAAACCCAAGGCAGGCAAAAGAGAATGGAACCAACCCTTTGAGTGCCTGCATGTCCTACAACAGCTATTCTTGGAGCGGAGAAACTGCTCCAACCCCTCACGTGTGCAGAAATCAGAAGTCCTACCTCCAGGGTGGATGCCGGCCTCCGAGTTGGGAGTGCACAGGGCCCCGGCAGCGCACGGGACTCCGGCAGCGGGTTGGAGGGGAGCTGGGAGGAATGCAGATTTCCAGGCCCCTGATGCTGGTCTCGTGCATACAGTTCCAGTCTGCATCTGGGAATGCATTTTTAACCGGTACCCCAGATGACTCATTATGAGGGCTGCACGGCCCAGAAACCTGCCTCTGGAGGAAGTGTCGTTCAGTATCTGGTGGAGGCACCCCTGGGAAGCCCATTGCCAGCCCCCGAACAGGTGTGCAGAGCCTAAGTAACTGGTGTTCTTCAAGGGAGAAGGGGAGCATCTCACAGAAGGGAGAAACCCAGGCTGGCTTTAGGAATGACTGAGAAGGCAGGCCACGAGGGCATGACTTTGCTACAGCTTGGGCTCTGAGGTGTCTGGTTTGTGGGCCTCTAGCAGCATTGTGGGGTCTCTGCAGTCAGTGACGGAGGTCATGTCCGGCCCAGTACTCCATTGGACACGGGAAGGTGCCCCGACCTCCTTCCCGCATCTCCTGGACCCACAGTAATTTCATAGCAGAGGATGAATATCAAAACCAGAAAGGTAGCCAGCTTCTCTGTGCTGTTCCTTTGTGTGACCGGGGACGGGTTCCCAGATCTCCCTGCAGTTCAGTGATATCTGCCCTGACCACCTGGAAAGTCTTCAAGGAAATGAGGTCAAGTATGTGAAGACTCTTTGGGAAGTGCAAGGGTCAGTCTTGACTCTGGAGTACTTGTGGTCCGTCGACTGCGGCTGTGTTCTGATCTCCCACCCCCAGTCCTGAACAGCTGCTTGCTAAGAGCTTTCAGTCCTGGTTAGCTGTGTGGCAGTGTGGACTCCCACTCCCACATCGGAGAAGGCATCCTGTGGACCCTCTGTCACATTTAGGTAATTGTTGGTGTCATAACAAATGCATGATAACACAAAACCAAGAAAAGCATCTTTGCAGCTCATGCTACTTTATTATCTGGCCAATCAGAACTTCCCAGCCCAGGCCTGGAAAGTTTGCTAAGAGGAGCTTGGGGGACAGCAAGACCAGGAGCAGACTTTGTTGGAGCCTGAGGTGCTTTGATGCAGAAATTCAAGGACTTACTCCAGATAGTCAGGCTGGGGCACTCTTGAGGGCAAACTTGTTCCCCAGATCCTCCCTCTGATGAGTCCTGCTTGTTGTCCTGAATGGGGAGACTTGGCAAGCCCCTAGCAGAGTGGCCACTTGGTCTTTCTTGGCAAAGAAACCCTGAATACATTCCTACCTATTTGTTCCTACAAAGAATTGTTTTCAAAACGCTCTGTGCCCTGTTTTCCCTTCAGTGCTGGAGCCAAAACATCTCTCTGCATGCTGGGCCATTTCTGGGCTCTGGGGGCCCCGTGGAAAGGTGGGCACAGTGCCTTGCACAGCCCGCCCTCCCACAGAGCCTGAGGCATGTTCCTGGTCACCTGGCCCTGTTTGGGGTGGAAACGGGAAGCAGAGTAAGATCACATTCTCTCAGCCATTTCCTGTGATAATTTGGGTGGGGTTCACCTGAAATTTATCTTTACCCACAGAAGCAGGATTTGATCCTGACAGATGATCCTTCCCCCAGCGCACACTCTGGCTTTAGAGCCTTGTTTCCAAGCGCGCTGCTCCCTGGCCACCTGCAGGTACTCCCTGATGCTGCTGCCTGGCAGAGCAGAGGGCATCTGGGTGGGATCTCCTTTACCCAGGGCAAAGCCAGGCTTGTTGGTGGCCTGTGCTTTGTGCAGAGAGACACACAGGCCAGTGGCTTAGCACTCCCATCCCTCCCTCTTACACCCTCAGGTTGCCAGTGGCGCTAGTTGTGAAACTTCTCAAACAGTGCAGAAGTGTATGCGGCATGGGAGGTGCCAGCCCGCACTGCCACCAAACCACTGTTACCCCATGTTGGTGCATTTCTTTACAGACCTTTTAGAGGGATTTGCATGTATGCATACAAGCATATCCACATAGACATTTTGAAACGTACATAAATAGGATCCTAGCAGACATCCCACTGCTGGCATTTTGTTCTGTGTGTTACTTAAAGGAGGCATCTTCATTCTTTTTCACAGCTGCATGGTATTCCAAGATGTGGTTACATGGCTGCACCATAACTTAACCCCTCACTTATTGAAAGGACAGCTTCATTGCCTTTTCTGTGTTTTGCTATTAGCAGTTGTGTAGCAGTGGACCCTGATGTGTGTGTGTCTTGGTGCAGGGGAGCTGGCATTTCTGTAAGACTGAGACCTGGTAGTGGTATTGACGGGGTTGATAGGTGTTGGTTACATCTGTTGTGGAGTTACTATGTTAACCTGAAAGACATTACGTTTCTAAAGGAAACAGACCACGGTTGTTGGTGCCCCTGTGCTGAGGGAGAGAACTCTTGTGTCGCCACTGCACCTTCCTGAAAATGTTTACTTCTCCCAGTTCTCCTTTTGCATGTGTAAGAACATTTAAACCAGTACCAGCAAAAGCACTGTCACTCCGCATGCCTGGTGGCCGGCTCTCCGGGCCATCTTCAGTTCTGGTTTTCCAGAGATTGGAGAGTGTTCTGTGGGGACTGGTGTGGCGACATCTCCCCTCCCTTCCTGCTGAAAAAGGGCTGGAGGCTGTGCTGCTGAGCCACCGGAGAGGCCCACAGGTCTTTAACCTGCAGCCTGTGTCTGGGGCTTCACATGTCTGGAACACAGCAGAGGTGGGGGCCTGATCCTTCTGAGTAGGTGCCCTGAAGCCCACTTCTCAAACTTCTGACAGCCTCCTGCCGTTAGGTCCTGTTTGTTCCCACTTTACACATAGCTTTAATACTGTTGGTTACCGAGGAAGGGCAAAAGACTTGGATAGCAGCTAAAGGCAGAGAGGAAACAAACCAGCAGGTTGCTAACATACGCA